TCTGCTGAACGGTCTTTGTCGAACAATATATGGAAAATTATTTTGGACTGCATTTATACTGTTTTGTGTCCCCGTTCCTCTCCAGCCCCTGCCGGCCTAGTCTTCGTTTATATCCGAAGTGGTCGACAATTTTGCTTATATTTGTTATAATAATCCTGATGTTCACTTTTTTCACTGACTTTTGAGCCTCAATTGAAGACAAATACTTGGAGACGTATCAGATGATTAGGTCTCAGTATTTGCAGGTGAACTCGTCAAATGGAGTCCGGTCACCTCTATTCAGAACAATCAAAATCGTGATGGCTTAAACAGGCATAGCTACTGCCTATGTATTTAGCAAAACAATCAGTTTTTATGTTTCAACGAATCGAAAATTGTAAAAATTAGAACTTACCCATGGCTACTCCGAGTCCAAAGACCGGGGTTATTAAATGACCCAAAGTCCGAGCAAACGGCACCTAAAAGGACAGTAAAGGATCGGGTGACTATCTTCATCACCATTTGTTTTACCAGGCAAAATGTATGACCACTACGAGAAGCGGCTGGTAAGAAAAAATAACTTTCTGATAGTTATTTATATTTCTTCGCCAATGTCAATTCGTAATTTAAAAAAACAAATTATAGTGTCCGCCTCGTCAAAATTTAAAGTGTAAGCACGGCAACAGGCCCGTTTCTGAGTCACTACAACAAATTAAAACTTCCGTACTACGAAACCGATAGTAATAGGGTTTAAATGGGTGAGGCCTATCAGGGGAAAGCCAGAATAATTGAAAAGTGGAGAGTATAAAAGTGCAAAATAATAGAACTAATTATTAAAATAACCGAATGCTTGGCGCGCGCGATAATTAAAAGGAGAGATGAGATTAAAGTCCAACTCTGAAGGATAGGTTTTGTTCCCCATTTTTTAAACTCCAAATAGCCTCTCAGCCAAAAAGCAACCACATGTCGCTAAAAAATAAAACTTAAATAAGTTCAAACTTAACAAACTCAAAATTGAAGTAATCAAAAAATTAATTCAAACTAATAAACCTACAGGCCGCTAAAATAATCCGTGTCGAGAATATAATTTGGATGCACTGCGTCGTGCTTCTATCGTGATACAAAAAATGCTTACTACTGCGAAATAAGTGGGCAGTTATTTGAAGCGTAGTGAGCCCGAACGGGGTTGTCACCGAAAGTCCTTTACTTTTGCAAGTCAGCTTAAAACCTGAACTTTAACTAGCTAGCTTCTCACTTAAGCTTCTTCCCACCGCGACGTGCCAGCTCGTTTTTATTTATCGATACTTTAAGCCCACCACATTAATCGCCCGCGACATGGCTAATTCCACCGGTCTTAGAATCCGATAATTCGACTGTGGTATTAACATACTTGGTTTAAAGCAATAGCTTAGCACAACGGAAGGAAATGCGGTTTCCAAAGTAAGCGCTAGATGAAACCGAAATTTCTTGGTAGCGCCTAAATATGCTTCTACAAAGATCAGGAAACCTATTATGCATAAGAAAATAACAGTTTATGGTGAATCTCATGAAAGCTTCGCCGAATTTTTAAAGTGCTTTCGAATAGAGTTGACACTAAATGCATGATTTCTAGTTCTGTGCAGGATTAGCCAAAGGTATTACACTTAAGAAGGAATTCTGTATTTTAAATGCGGTTTATTCTAGTCGTCTGTACCGATCACACTCGCGAAAAATGGACACTTCAGTGACATCAATTTTCTCTATTAACTTTCAACGTCCCTATAAAATCATATATATTTTACAGAAAGCCTGCACAAGGATAGCTTTTTTTCTTTTGGAAGAGGTCAACCTTTGACTTTATAAATTTTGCTTTTAATTTCTGCATCATCTTTAATTTGACATACCGTTTTACTTACTTTTAGCATCTACAAACCGCAAACTGTACACATTCCGTACAAAAAAAATTACACAATATATAAGTGTCATAAAAGTTCTTCTTAGATGAGGACGGGAGAGATAATGCCTGATAATTCTTACAATTACCTTAGCTGATCCGTCTGTTTAATTGCGAACTATAATTCTGAAACGCATTATAAATTAGGAAGGAAGACGTAAGTCAATTCATTATCATGCTGCGTTATCTCAATATAATTCAATCACTGCACGACGCTGAATTTTGAGTGTACTTATATTCTATCTACTACTACCTATTATTGGCTCATGCCATTCAGTGTGGCCAAATGCAACCTAATGCGCTTTGGTAGAACCAGCACTACGCCTCGG